TGTTTTATGTGTCTAAGGGGTGAAAGTGTCTTTTTGCTATGATTTTGTGACATATATGTCTACTCTTTTGTTTTTATGAAATCTTTGTAGTTAAAACTAGTTTTATGTGATTTTTTTGTAAATTTCTCATAGATAAATTGGTAAGCGTAGGCACGTCGATGGTAAATAGCATCACATTAGTGTATGAGTTTTGTTGCACTACCATTAATTAATTAAAAATTTTCAATTAAGTCTATATATACCATATTAGAAATCTCTACATATTTACATTAATTTTGTTAACATGAACTCACAAATACATGTGTGATAAATTTAAATCCAACTAAAATGTAACATTTTAATATTAGTATATAACATAACTTTTTTAACAAAAAATTATTCACCGATATCAATTACTTTATAAAAATTATGTTATTGCTCATTTGGATATCATATGTGATTGATCATACAATTTTTTTTATATCAATTTATTGTATCCATATTACTCTAATTAAAGTTACACTTTTGTTATATATTTAAAACTTTACAAATCAACTAAAATATAACATTTTAATATTTTAAAGTATTAGTATGTAACATAATATTTTAACAAATTTAAATCCAACTAAAATTTAATATTTAAATCCACCTAAGATGTAATATTTTTTCTTTGATTTTGAAAATTTTTTTACATACAAACGTGATATTATTTTTTTAGGTATGATGAATTCAAATAAGTTTGAAAAAAACGTAATCTCAAACGTATTGGATTTATATAAAAAAAAATGCTTACATTCAATCCCCAAATGTCATGCAAATTAATTTTATAAGCTAAAATATATTTATCTACATATACCATTTGATCTTTGTTATTTTAGTTTATCCCGTGTATTATTAAAAATCAATCAAATTTTCTTTTCGAATATTTTAATACCGCGTTCGACGTTTATCAAAAATTTAGTCATACTGATAAAGATGGAATAATTCAATATAGTCATGTTACATATTTGACATAATTTTCTACGAAACGATATTAGGAGTGAAAATTAGATCCAAGATAAATTTGACCTTTCGTTGAGCAAAGAACAAAAACAATGTCTTCCAAAATCTAAAAGTTTCTTACGTTAAACAATAATGTGTTTGTATTGTGGAAATTACTACTTTTAATTTGCATTTTGTGCCAAGAGGTAGAAAGCACCCGTTCCAAACATAAGTTTATTTTATTTGAATGTTTGTCTCGGCTTCTATCAAATTAATGTCCACGCTTTTGATTGATAGCAAAATGTGACTTTGGTATCATTTTACAAAGCATTTTTTATAGGAAACAATTTATAAGTTTCTAAGTAATCAACACTGCAAAATTAAGTGCGAATAGTTTCATATGTCCGCATAGCTAGGAAGACATTATTTTTCAAAGTAAAATCCACGTAGAGTATATATTGTTCATCAAACTAAAAGAATCAAACAAACAATGAAATTTTTTCCTATGTCTTTCTTTATACCGAAACAAACCCAATGAAATTATGTAAAACAAACAACTCTCAGAGAGATTAACAACAAAGAGACAATGTAACAACACCTACCAAGTGGCTTCTTCTGTTCCTGCCTATGAAATTTCGATAATGCCTCTAGCATTATGTGACGGAGAGCTTGTCTTTCACGATCCATACTTTCTCACTCGCCTACTTAGAAGATATGATCCTCTCGCCAAGTCACTTGCTGCTGTTCCGTTTGGTAGTATACATGTAAACAGAGCTGTGTGCTTCTTTCCTAACCTGTTCTCTCCAGCAACTGTAGTGGAACGACAAAGAGACGTGGCCAGATTAGCTGAAATTGGGGTTAAACAAGAAACACTTGAAAACACAGCAACTGCAGTGGAACGACAATGAGACGTGGCCAGATTAGCTGAAGTTGGGGTTAAAGAAGAAACAGATAGCACAAAGACTGCACAACATAAAGACAAAGTGAAGGATTAGGAACTCTGTTTCAGGATCGTGTTTTGTTTGATATACGATGATAAGATTTCATTTTCCTACAAGGTAACAAAAGATTTCGTTTTATAGTCTCACTCACCTTTTCTCTCTTTTTTTGGCTTGATATACACGATGCTAAGATTTCCTTATTCTT